GTGAAGACGCGATAAAATCGATCCCTGATCACTCTGCCGTCGACTCCGGAAATCCACCGCGGCAAGAGGCGGAAGTGGAGTCGACGGCGGCGCGGCAGCGGTCGACTCGCAGCCAGGTAAGTCGACCTAAAATACGCAACTTTAGCTATGCTATTCATGTAGCTGAAGTTGCATATCTTAGGTCGACACCTCCGCCCCCCCCCCCCCCCCCCCCCGGGTACGTGTAGACCTAGCCTCAGAATGGTCACAATACAGGGACCTTGGGTACAGCCTGTTGAGATGACAGGGGGAATGGTAAAACAATCTAATGTTCGGGGGCACTTGAAATCAGAATGTGAAAAACACACCAGGAGAGGTGGTTCAAGCAGGTAGTACACATTAATGAAAGCAAAGACTAGAAATGCCTTTATTGTTCAATAACATTACCAGGGATATTTGTCAGCTTTTCCTGTCTAACATATCTCCCACCACCAAATAGCAATCCAAACTAGCAGTGTTTAAAATTCTCTGTATTGAGAAGTTTGATACTAGACAAAGCTGATTGTTTCAGGTCAAGGAGATGAACATGGAGAGGCCAGCTAGTATTTTGTTGGTGATGAATAACACTAAAGTCTTTGATCCTCCTACAAATTTCATTCTTTATCCTTAGACATCCTATCCCATTGGAGCCCTGATTTACAGCCAGAGTGATGCTCTGTGCTTCAGCTGCCTTAACAGGATTTTCATGGACAATTCCCATTGTGTATGTGGCCTTTTGTAATATTCTTTTAAGAGAAGCATTCTTCAATACTATGACGTAGACACTACATACAAGTGCCTTGTACATGATAAGCTGACATCTTGTTTGAACTTCAAATGAGACTGTAAAGCTCACATTTCAGGAGCGACCATTAAACAGAGTCACAAGTGCTACATCATTATGTTAGGAGGTAAAGCAAACAAGGATTAACTGATTAATGAAGATACAGCTTTCCAATCGAAGAGACCCTTCTCGCCTCAATACGTATAACCCCCATTTCTTTTTCTTATTTCAGGATGTTCAGCCAAAAACACTTATTGTTGTAATTACAGCTGCTTTTTGTACTTGCAGTGTACAACCTGGAGTGACTTTAAAGAAGTAGTTACTATTTCAGCATACTAGAGGGATCTGGAAAAACATATTTTTGAGCTAAGTTTATGCCCTACTATCACCATTCCACAACACTGTCTAGCATATTCTTTATTCAGCACATTCCCCCAGAAGCTGCTTGTTTGAAAAGATTGTTCAAAGGACTAGGTCAGCCAAGGGAGACCCAATAAGCCTTAAAATGTTGTACATCTTCTCCTATTTTCCTAACCCTTTAGTCCCAGTTCTTGATACACCTCTTTTGAAAGAAGCACTTCTGCTGTGCTGCAGTGGTACTGAACAACATGTTCAAATGGATTTCAGGAAGCACCCTGCCCTCCTGCTAGTCCCATCAAGGTCCCCCCTGCTCTGACCCACTAGACCCCTCCCCTTTCCTCCCAGATCCCAGGAGCCCTGCCTTTCAGCCCTCCTTGTCTCACTAGCATAGTGGCCAACATTTTCAAACTACTTTCAGGGAGCATCCTGCCCCTCCACTCCCCTAGTCCCACCAAATACCCGCACTGCATCCTTCCACCCCCCTCCACATCCCCCAAGCCTCACTGCCCCTGCTCCAGCCCCACCAACACCCGCACTGCCACGCTCTTGCTCCCCCACTCATACCTTCATTCATTCTCCCTGTCCCCCCGCCCAGAGCCTTGTACTCTGGAGCATACACAGTGAGGCAAACAGAATTACAGGACCCTGCCCTGGCCAGGCTATAATGAGCTCAGCTGTAGCAGCCTTTGGGAAGACAGGCCCACAGTTACACCTGGGGAAGTGGAGACAAGACATTCACTCTTGTCAGGGTATTTGCAGCAGAACAGAACCATGCAGCCACCCCCCCTCCCCGCTGTGCCCAGTCCTGGGTCTGGAAGGGGTGTTAGCCCTCCTCTTCCACCCAAAGGCCTGGGGAGAATGGGGCATGATCCCTTCCCCACCCACCTAAACTACAACCCCCCTGCTGTGCTGAGTCCCAGGTTGAGTGGGAATGTTCCCCTCTCTGAACCCCTCATTCACCCCCTCTCTGCTGCAGCCAAGGCCTTGGGAAAATGGGGCATGAACCCCTCCTTGATATATTGTCCAGCCACCACTTTGCACTGCTTCAGCTCTGCATCACCATCACACCAAATCTACCTCCCTGCCCTGCCATTGGCTGCCAAACCCAGCCAACCCCGCCCCTCTTGCACTCCCAGTGCCGGAAGCAGAGCAGAAGTCAGCCTTATTACCCAGAATCTTGTGCATCAGGTGCACATGTGCCTCAGCCTCTCTTGCTGACTCAGGGAGAGAAAGACTGATGTGTGTGTGTGGCTAACGCACAAGATTCTGGGCAATGTAGTTTTATGGGGGCGATAATGTTATTCAATCGAGAGTCGGGAGTTTTGGGTTCAAATGGGAGTCTCCCTGACATATTGGGAGAGTCAGTCAGTCTGGCTACAACCATTTCTTTTCCCAGAGCCTTCTCCTTTCTAGCTCCACACTTCCTATCCTGGGTTTGTTTCCTTCTCTCCATCCCACCAATCCACAGCTATGGATGACCAGCATGATGTCATTGCTCCTGTATTACATAACTGCAGTTGCTAGGTGTGGGCTGGTTGGCCAATCCTCAGAGTCTCCCTGCCTGCTCGGGCATTCCCACTGCAGCTTGTTTGCCTTCTTCCTGCAAATACGGTTGCACCTCAGACCCAGGCTTGTGTGGGCCTGTTGATTAATACTGCTCTGATTGCTTTGGATGTGCAGATCCTGCAAAAAATGTTGTGTGTACTTGAGAAAGTTATTGTTTCTTTTAATGACTGGCTGTGGCCATCAGGTATAGTTTAAGGGTGTTTTTTTGTATTGTGAAACAATTTTCCTATTGCCGCACTGTAACTGAGCTCCCTGGCCTGGAATCCTCTGCTAAGCTATAATTCCCTATTGTGCTTTCCTCCTCCTCTGTACCTTTTCCCCCTGCGGTCCTGCAATGCCAGTCTGGCCAATGTCACCAGCTTCCCCCTAGGAAAAAAGAGAAAAGCAACAGATTCATATAAATGAGCAGAAAGGAGCGATTCTAGCAATTGCTGTGCTGGGATCAGCGGTTAGACCTGACAGCACTTCAGACAGGAAGCATTCCACTAGCTCAGGTAGACCTGTCATATCCAGATTTCTTTTAGGAGTTTCAGAGCACTGAGGTGACTTCCCATTTCTACACTACCCATGGGCTAAGGGGCTACAAAGTGAATGGGTGGTATGAACTGGGACCAATGGGTCATCTTTTAACTGCACTGTGAATGGAACTAGTCCTGAGTGTCCTAAACATCCTCTGTTATCAGGTATGGTTTGAGGGCTGCTAGTTCTCTAGGCAGGAATACAACAGGAGAGGAGGTTCCAAGTCCTGATCACAATGTTTACCCTGTCCCAGCTGCCATCTATGGCACCAGATGCTGGCAGTGATTCTGAGGGACTGTTTGCTTACAGACCCTATAGGGAAATCATTTGAACACAGGTAGTTTTTTCCCCCCCAGGAAATGCAGTTCATAAATTTTCTGACCTTCAGCATTTAAAATAACAAACTAAAGAACTCTGCAGGAGCTGGCTAGCTTGTATAATCTCCACAGTGCATAATTACAGCCAGTGCAGACAAATGCAAACTTTGACCCCTTCCTAAATACCCTGAGCTAGGTACATTCTCATGCAAAAAGGAAACACAGACTTCATTGGAGGAAAGAGACGCACCTTTGGTCCTGGAGGCCCAGGTAGTCCCGGGTGTCCGGGTTCCCCTTTACCTCCCCCGAGTGCATTGCCAGCATCTCCCTTCTCTCCCTGGTTCAAGGAGGAATAATCCACTGTCAGTTAAATCAATTTCTCATTCTGTAACTTCACGAGCCAGGTTGTGGTTTTGGGATCGGGGGAATCAGGACAAGGTTAATACTGAAGAACCTGGCTGCATTTTACTTAGTTGTTTACTGGTGAATTTTAAAGCTGAGAACTGGAGACTGATAAAGCTGGCTAGAGAGGGGTTCTCCCCATGCCGCTGCATCTGGAGTTGTAGCCCCTCCTGTTACTGGACTTCTGTGCCTGTACACAGTTCTGCCAATGCAGTTCATGCCTGACTCCCCACGTGAGGAGACATACTCACACTGGCTCTCATCGATATAGAAGGTAGCCATGGAAGCATGAGCAGCGGGAGGAGCTAAGCTCCCTGAGTACCCACCTACTATCTGATGGGCACACACCCAGGGAGGCTAGCCCCTCCCAACACTTGTGATGCCAAGGCTACACTATGTGAGCTCGTGAAATCGGACCCCCAGCTCCAAGTGTAGACACACCCTCAGTCAGCAGCGTGTTGGCAACATTGAAACAAGGGGCTCCCTCAAAAATTCTCCACCTCAGTCAGTGACACATGTGACATGGCTTGAAAAACACCCCCAATCCTCCCATCATCATGCACAAAATCCATTCATTCCATACTCTTCCTCTGGCCCCAATCCATCAGTCCTTTCAGCCCCACCCCTTTTGACCTGCTGGCACCTCTCCATCAACTCATCTGACAGCTTTGGAG